GCTCAGTCAGCCCTGCGATGGACCATGGGATGGTGGCATTCTGCCACTCACAATTTGTTTTGTTTGCTCTGCGTCCTGAAGTCCAGAGCCAGGTCAGGATGCCAATCTGACAAAGCTTTCTTGGTGGAATCACGTGGTCTTGCACACCAATGTCCACATGCACCCAAAGCAAGCAAGGCTCTGTAATGGAACTGAACAGCATGTTGGACTTCAGGTCAGGGAACTCCGATATGCTATAGTCAGCCAACAAAAAGAGCAGATAAAGAAGCTATTTAGAGCTACAATACAAGGAAAAAATTTCCAAGGTAAGAAATAGCCCAAAGAAGGGGATTTGGTTTTTTGATTTCAGGAACAAATACGACCTTTACTGAAGACTTGCTTTGTTCCAAAGGTAAAACTCTAATAAAAACAACTTCAAGTTTTATTAGTCATGTAAGTCCTTTTGAAGTGCTTTAAAACCAAACTTATGACAAACGTTTATTTTAAAAGGCCATGCTCACGGTTTTCAGGGGCTAGAGTCTGAAATTACTTGTTTGCCTGCTTTCCCTCATTCAGGAGTAAGTTGCAGAGTCAACAGCATGCCAAGCTGACAGAGTGCCAAGCTCCTTACTGATGCGACAGTCACAAATCTTGTACAAGTGTCACATTTCTGAGGACTGAAAACATCGTTATTCTGCAATACTAAACAAGAAGAAAATTGAGTAAATCACCAAACCTGACACTGTAATGCTCACAATACTTCTCTACGTACTTTTTCATTTAATACAACAGCAGCCATTAAGAAACCATCACTGCCAGGCAGGGAGACATCAAAGCCTTGCTGCACACTCTAAGCCTGGGATAATTCATTTCAATTAACAGCTGACATGCTGAGCTTTGCTGTATCCAATAAAGTAGATATCTATGACAAAAGATGTACTGATAAGGAGGAAAAGAAACAGGTAGTCCCTTACATCTCATTTATTGGGGTTCTACCACCATACTTATGGTCTGTAGTGTCAGCACCACTTTCTCACTCCAGGTCATGTATTTATTATGTTTGCTGTGCATAAGCTGTATCTCTTGTCTCACAGCAAGCCGTGCAGCTGAAATGCGGTCTAAGCTGTCATCTCTGCCTTCATCACGTGGACTTGTGCACTGTTCATATCTATCCTGAAAATGCCTGTACACACCATTTTCTCAGGCCTATGCCTTCAACCATATCACGTCACCTAAACATCACTTACTGACCCACTCTACTCTGCTGTATCAAATATACAGTGCTTGTCCTGACTTCCAAAGACTATACAATGTATTATGGCTTACTCATAACTTCTTATGTGCTACCCAACTCTTGATTATGAACTATGTCCTATGATCTGCAGTCCTTGACAGCCATAATTAGTAGTTCACTATGTAACTCAGAAAGATCCACATCTGCATCAGCCACTGAGAAACTCATTTATGCTCCTTACACTCTCCTGAATATAATACCCATGGAAACTTTACAATGAGCAGGTCAGACCAGATGTTGGCTATTATGGTAACTTGTTTTAGAATGCTTTTGAGGGTTCTTCCAAAGATCATCTAGTCCAATCCCCCTGCCATTTGCAGGGACATCTCTCATTAGATGAATTTGTTCAAGGCTCCACGCAACCTGGCCTTGAAAACTACCAGTGATGGGATATCCACAAATTCTCTCACCAACATGTTCCAGCATCTCACCATCCTCACTGGACAAGTATCTTTCTCACATCCAGTACAAACTTAACTTCTTTCCAATTTAAAACCATTGTCCCTTGAACTGTCACTACATGCCCTAGTAAAAAGTCTCTCTCTTTCTTATAAGCCCACTTTATGTGTTGAAATACTGCAGTAATATCTTCCGTGAGCCCTCTGAGTTCCCCAGACTGAACATTTCCAACCCTTTAAGCTCATGAGAGCTGTTTCCACCCCTCTGATCATTTTCAGGGCATTTTCCCTGGACTTGCTGTAACAGACCCATGCTCTTTTTTATGGGCTCAGGGCCTCAGAGCTGGATGCAGCATTTCAGGTGGGGTATTATCTCAACCTGCTGGCCATGCTGCTTTGGATGCAGCCCAGAACACAATTGGCTTTCTGGGTTATGAGTGCACATTGCCAAGTAGTTTTTAATTTTTTAGCCACCAAGTTCTTCTCTGCAGGGCTGCTCTTAACAATCTGTAAATTTAATCTGACACTGCTTGTGTTGGACTCCATCTGGTCAGAGTAGCCTACTCTTTCTTTTTTGTTCATGCCACACTCAGGACAAAAAAGATGCCAAACAGTACTGATGGCAGAGGGTAAGACTGGTTTTTCATTGGGAAATGTGACCTAAGCAAAACCAGGACTGCCATGTGAACATGCTGAAGAGGATCATATGTTTGCTGCTGAAAATCCCACTAAACCTGTCACAAAGACTCCATTTACATTAAGTGGATTCAGAATTAATTAAGATGCTTATCTGCTGGCAGGAGCAAGTGAATCATCTCGCTTTAGGATGCTCATTGTTTTGTGTGGCAATGCCTACCTTGAAGTAGGAGGCTGCAGGCAAGGGCATGGGGCTATTGGTTTCTCCAGCTCCTCTCTGGGGACTGTGGGGAGCACCCACTCCCATCCACTGAGGACCTGCTCCCACCTGGGCAAGCTCCAACAACATTCTTTGCTTCAATCCCCTTCGTCACAGCTAGGTACCTTGACCAGGACCATCACAGCATCTGGTGTTACCAAGAGGGCTGAGGACTCTGGGGACCACTGTCACAAGTTTTATCCAGCTACTAGAATTTAACATAGCTTCTACAACAACAGCAAGTGGGGTTTCAGGAAAGATTAATTGTCTTTCTGGTCTGCCTGCCCTGCTGTCAATACACTCCACTCACTGGAGTAACAGGGGGCTTCTCACACACAGCTTGAAGTGAATGGTTTGCATTAAGTTTCAGTGAGAGACAGAGAGCTGAACTACCTCAGGAGTACTTAGATCATGCCTAACTGGGGACTGCAGAAATTTAAAAAAGATTTTCTGTTCTTTTTCTTCTGGACAAGACCACATATTTCAAGTTTTTTCTTCCCCTCCACTAACTCAAAACCAGAGAGACAGCACTCATGCCTATGCCAGACTTAACACTATCTGATGCACACTACAATAATTGACAACACTGGCAACTTTATCTGATTTTGTAGAAATATATGGTTTCTGACTTCTTGAAAACCAGGTCTGATTCCGTGTTTTCACTGAGTAGCACAAACTTGGATACTGCAGGCATTTCTCCTCCCTGTTTCTTATCAATAAGCCTCCCCAAACTAGCACAGCTTAGGAGGAACAAGGTGGCTAAAAAGAGTAGGACTTGATTTATTTTTGTACCCCCTTCCACCATTTGGTGCTGCTGTGGCATCACAAACCTTGGCTCTTTGTTTTTTGTTTTTTAATCACTCCTGGGGTGTATATCAGAGTTATCTCACCCTCCAACATCCAGCTGTAGATAAAGGCACTAAGCACTTACACAGGTTAGAAACAAACTTAAACAGGGCACACACCAAAACAGGACGTGCACCATCAGTGACTGCTGCTGGCTGGGTTCAGCGGCAGGAGTATGATTTCCAAGTTTTGGAAAGTTTTGGGTAATCTGAGTACCATGACTTGGGTGTCAGGAGTCAGTGAGGAGTGAACCGGAGACCCCAAGTGCTGCAGAAGCCAGTGATGCATGAGTGCACACTCCAGTTCCTGTGCTGGAGACAACACACCTGATATGAGGCACTCTGCTCCCTCCTGAGCAGTCCCTTCCTCCTGGTGATCACTGGTAAATACAGTGCTTCCCTTACACCAGACAGCAATATTCTAAGTACTCAGCCAGCTGGGATGTCACAGAAAGCACAAGCAGCCCTGTGTTCCCCACAGAAGCCCTGGTGTGACCATAGGGAAATTCATCTTCAGCCTCAACCAGGAGACACTCCATGTGGCTTCACTCACAGGAGCTCCATGGAATATCCACTCAGCACCAACAAAACCACAGCTTTTCTCTTGGATATGTGTAGGAGTGGCACAAAACCCCCTACTTTTTAAAAAGAAATTCAGCCCCTAGTCCAAACCACCAACCACACCCTGACAAATGTCAAGCCTTTGTCAGAATACAGAGAAGCATTTGAGTATAGCTACTCAAATTCAACAGATTTATCAAGATCAGAAAACAAACATTTTTTCCCCCCCTACTTTATTCCCAGAAATTCCTGACATTTTCCGGTCATCGTTTTTCTAAAGAAAATAATTAAAATAATACGGCTTAGGGCAGATATTCATCGTGGAAAAACTCATCCCAAGCTGTCAAAGTGTAGCACAGTCATCAGTCTTGAGGGGAAAAAAGAAAAAAGAAAAAAAAAACAAAGAAAAAGGAGGAAGTGAATGAAGGCTTCATAAGAGATGTCATTCCTAAGAATGCTCAGTGGGGCTGTGAGTGGACCTGAGCTGAGCCAATTCTCCCTTCCAAAACACACTGGGTGGTGTTTGGTGGGTGGTGCAAACCACTGGTGTGCCAGCCAGCTCCGGAGTGTGCTGAGTGGCGGCTGCCCTCAGGGGCATGGTGGTCAGCTCTCTTCAGCTCTCTCTCCAAGCACAGAATTAAAAGGATAAACTCCAGACCATATACGTAAATCAGGCTTGGAAAGCAAATGGATATGAGCAATAATCCTACAGATACATTTTAAAAGCATGGTAATAGTTTGTCCAGGAGCTTCCCTGATCCATCTCCACCACAGACCCCACCTCTGCTTTGGTGTGACACAAGGGTTTATCAGCACTCCTCCAAGAAAAATGCATAACTGTGCCATGCCTCACCTCCAGTAATACAGACAGACCCTGGAAGACTCACAATAAAATCTTTATCTCATTTCCCACAGAACAGTTTTATCCCCTTGTTCTCTCTCACCCTTCTCTTTACCTACAAACACATACAACTCATGAGTGTAATCCTGTATAAAATTTAAGAAGTAAGACCACCATGAGGTGCTGATCACATTACAGCACTGAGATTTTATAAATTAAGACTGAATAAAATTGTGTGCATACACATCCACACAAACTGAGAAGTTGAACATGTACTCCAAGAGAAGACACTTTTGACTGAAAATTGCCTTCATATCTTGCCTCATGCCAGGATGTAGTCCTAAAACCTGTAAATCCAAGTAGAAAAACCTGCATTACTAACTATATATATAAGTCTCAACTTATTCTACTCTTCAGGCATTGATGCTTTTGCCCTTTAAGGTTAATCATTTAAGAAGACAATATTTTGACTTTTCAGAGCACTGTATATTACAAGAAGTGTTGAAGATAGAACTTCACTGAAAGCCCTTGACGAAACATTCCTCTGAAAAAAAAACCCCACCAAAAATCAATAAAACCTTTGAAGTGTTGTTTTGAAGTACAACTGGTCTCATTTTCTGATGTTCCAGGATAAAACAGGCTTCTGAGCAATTTCTAATGAAACAAGTAAGTACGAACAGTCTTATATGAAATGAAAGCCATTATAAAATTAGTAGAAAATGTACACAACCTTTTAGTAAATGCAGCTAGCAATTTCAAATATTAATGGCAGAGACAAATTCTTGAACTCAATGAGGCATGGGTTCAGCATCTACCTGGAATTTTAGACTGGGTGAAGATTTGAGCTTCCTGTTCCCAGGATCCCTACAACTGTCTTGGAAAGAGAGTTAAAGTGGTCTGCTGGTAGTGCCTGCAGCCTCCCCTGCTTTCCCACCAGTGCTGGTGCGGCTCAGGAACACGATACCCATCCCACAGGAGAGGGCACACCCAAGCCCACAGCTGGCAGCAGACTTGGGAATCTCTGCTTAACAAATGTCAGGTTTTAATAGCATGCATCATTATTAATTGTATTCAAACCCAGCAGGGCCCATGCCCATATTGCATTCATCAATTTGCACAAAAGCTAACAAGCTTTAACCTCCACATGTGCAAAAGCAGCCTGTGTACCTGGCACAAACCCAAGGAAGCTGCAGCAAGGTGGGAATCAGCCTCTTCCCACAGGCAACCAGACGACAGGACAAAAGCAAATGAAGTCACACTGAGCCAGCAGAGGTTCAGGTCAGACACCCAGAAAGAATTTCCTCACTGAAAGGGTTAGCAAGCATTGGAATGGACTTCCAGGGAGGTGGTGGAGTCTTGGACACCCTGGAGATGTTCAAGAAATGACAGGATTTAGCACTTAGTGTGATGGTCTACTTGAGATGGTGGTGTTCGGTCACACATTAGACTTATCTTGGAGGTCTTTTCCAATCTTAATGTCTCTGTGATTCTATGATCTGCACCAATGATCTCCTAATCCATTAATTCAACCCTTGACTAGAGTGCAATGATATTGATGGAATTGTATAATCTCAATCAATCCTAATCGATAATTAGTAATTGCAAAGCCCACAAAGGCTACTGGAGTAATTTGGAACCATTAGATGACAATACTATCTGATAGGGCTGAAAAAGGCTTTTTCATCCTTCCTTATATAAAATCTGTTAAGTTACAATGAGCAATTGAAGGAGTCCAGCTCAATATTTTTCTTCAGAATTTCAGAAACATCTCCCTATATTTCCAGGATTATCTTAGCACTTTACGGGATACTCAGAAGTATCAAAGTAATGTTTTAACTGATTAAAATATCACCACATTTTCATGTTGCATTGGTGAGAAATATTGTTTATTTAACATGGTGTTTTTAGGCATGTCACTCCCTTAATGCATTTTCACACAGTTGAACCTTTTCTTTTTTTCTTTTTTTTTTTAATACCATGATTTTTTATATGTTAAAGTACCTTGGTGAGTTTTCTACTCAAAGCAGTCCTGGAGCAAACGTTAAAAGCAGATAGGAGAGGAGACTTCTTCTATTTTCTCCCAAGTATCCATCAAGAGGTGAACAAATTACTCTGACCACTTCCAAGGGACCATGGACAATGCTTACAATTTACATGCCCTTAAGCATGATCATTGCCCTGTCCATGTCTCACAGCTCCCACCACTGAAGCCACCTGTTGAAGAGCTGCTTCCACTCCCCTTTTGATGTTCCAAATCTTTTTTCCTTCTGAAACATAATTCAGCATCACCCCCACACTGCAATGGTCTGTGCAAACTCAGAACTAAATACTTTTCAGTACACCAGTGGGCTGGCAGCATCAACATATCCATGCCACCCCAGCCTTATGACAATACAGTGTCCCTCTGTCCCACCAGACTTGTGTCACTCTGACCTTCAGGCAAACACTGATGTTAGCAACTATTAACTTTGCTTTGTTTGTTATGCATTAAGAGTTTTCCTTGAAATTATTCTTGTTTGTAATCTTGCACTGTATAATGTTACACTCAGGATTCTGTGATTTTCAGAATGGTGTGGAATCAGACTTCGAATACCATTATTACAAAACCAGAATAGCCATCTTTATATTTCCTCAGCTTGGAGATAAATAATTGCAAATAATAGAGAAGAAACAGATGGGCAATCACAGCAAACAGAAGCAGACATGGTCTCTCTTTAAACTGTCGCTGACTCATGCCACCAGAACACCACTTGTGCCAAAATAAGACGTCCCACTCTTCCATGATTTACACAATTTCATGCAATCAGGCAAAATTATAGGAATTATGCCGATATTATCACAAAATCTCAATGTTTCTAATTAATTATGTCATAATTTCATGACTACTGAAATATTACAGTGCTAATCTGTAAAAGGGAAGTGTCCATGCAGGCAGTCACGGACTTATTAAGATCTCCAGGTTCACGCAGATGACTCAGTACCTTCAAAATTATATTTAAATGCCTAATCATTTAATGATCTCTAAATACCTTTTAACACCTTCTGCAACATTATGAGGGTCCCGGTAGGGTTAACGGGAAACATCTATTCTGAAGTAATGTGAAATCCCTCTCAGTATCTCTGTTCCAGCTTGTCCTTAATAATAGGTCCAGACTTCACTAACAGTTTTTGTGTCTTAGAACAATTTCTAAGATAATCCAAATACTTAGTCTGATATGTGTGAGTGATATAAGGGATCTGTTTGTCTTTCACCCTTTTTCAGGCTTCTGAGAGGGAAAAAAAAAACCTGACTTGATGCCTTCATTAATATTTTGCAGTTCACTAATAAATGCTATGAAATACAGCCTCAAGTGAGAGGGAAATAAATTAACTTTCTGAGCCACTGGCAATTAGTTTTGAAAGACTGCGTAGATCTGGTGAGCTTCCAAAAAAAGAGAAAAAGGAAAATGTGGCCTCTGTTTTTCAAAAACAGATCTAACAAGTACCTGGAGAGCAAAGCAGCGTGCCTCTGACCCTTCCAAAGGCAGGCAGCTGAGTCCCTAGCCCTCTACTTAATCCACAGGGTGAATACACTACTTGGGTGTCATACTGAAGAAGCATCAAAAGAAGAGAAAATTGACAAACTGTACATGGGACAGTGACCAAATTGTGACGTGGAAGAACAGCATTTTTCTGCATCATTTTGCAAAAGCAATAAAGAACATGGGAGTTTATTTGCAATGAGAAAATCACATAGAAGGGGACAATACTGTGTCCCCCAAAAAAGTACTCCACATGAAGTATTTGGCTTTATTTTTAATCCATTTAGTAATTTACAAAGAAAGACCATCAACAAACACCTAATCAGAATTTTACCTTCTTGAGTTACAAAAACTAGCAAGTCTGTCATTGCAAACCATCTGTTAGACACAGCTGGCAATTCCTCTGCTTATAAATCTGACGCTGCCTTTTACAAGCCCTTGCTGAAGTCATGGTGATGAGGTTGTTACTTCATAACTGAATAATGCAGTTTTATAGCTTTTAAATTCCCTGCTGAATGGCTCGAGGTGAACTTGTGGAAAACAGAGGGAGACAGAATGGCTGGAGAAGACAACTGCTGCAGAAATCTGCCATCCCACTGCCCAGAGGCAGCTTCACGTTCTGTCCGAACAAAGACTGAGTCTGCAGATTGAAAAGGCACGAGAGATTTGAAAAATATTTCAGGATGCATGACAAAAATGGTGCAATGTGTTTTGTCCCTGTTTTCTGCATTGGTTTGAAAGTAGGAAGAAAGCATTCAGAGGCTGTGCTGACTGTGCTTGGCTCATCAAATAACATTTTGCTCTCCAAATTTATTTCTGTTATATTTCTGAGTTACAAATCCCACATTTTTGCAGGTCAGGTTTGGGCTTCTAGAACTTCTTGCATTGTAAAACCACCCTACTACATACAATTTCTGTTCAGAATAGGAAATGAGGGTTCTGGAAAAAATACTAGCAGAGAAACTCAAATTATTTATAAAGAAAAGTAAGCGCTTTATTGCAAAAGATAAAGAAGTGAAACTGCAATACAGCATTGTAGCAGAGAACTGCATGAAATTGAATGAAACACTACAGCATAAGAGGGAGAAGAATTCACAGAGAAACACAGTAAAGAAAATTATTACAAAGTATAAAAGATTAAACTGTATTTCTATGCTGTATGTTAACCCCTAAGGCACTTCAGGGTATATATTTGCAGACAATGTGCCTAAACTAAAGTCTGGAGAAAGTTATTTCTGTCAATGAAAGGCAGATTTTTCTGTCACCAGTGCTGAAGTAGCCATTTTACTCCCTGCCAAACTACAGATTGCTTTGAATGAAAAGAGGTTTCCTTTTTATTATGAGGACTCTAAACTAGTTACAGCTGTGCAACAAAACAGATGTGGGATGGCAGAAGTGGGGGAAAGTTCACTGGATCGAATGTAAAGGAAATAATTATGAGACAATACTCTATTCTGGAGCCCAAAGTCAGAGCAGAAATGCTGACATCTTTAATGCGGGTTCCCCCTTCCCAATTGCATGATCTGCTGACAAATGCAAACACTGTTGAACTGCATTTCCTCGCTCCTGAAAGGCACTGAAAGGCACAGCCTGCTGCTGGGATGGTCTGAATTTTAATGCTGCCCTTTCACAAGAAGAAACAGACACAGTAATTCTTATCATGATGGTGTCCTGCACTTCCCTCACATAATTTTCTTCACCTTTTTCATTTCCTACAGTCAAACTGAATACCTGCAAACAAAGAAAAGCACTCTTCCTTTTCCATTTTCCATTATCTTGTTGGGTATAGCCCATATATTATATAGGATACCCATTTCACTGTGTAA